GTACCTTGTGAAGCAGATGTCCTAAAAGAATCCAAAGTCAGAGATAGGGGAATCTTGGAATACCAAGCAAAATTCTCACTGCTAGAAAGACTGACTCATGGACTTTCTAGATCAGGTTTTTACAAGCATTTGGGGCAAAGGACCAACATTGAACATTTTAGGCTTTACTGTCTCTGTGGCAAACATTGGGCTTGGGTTCCGCCACTGTAGTGCAGAAACAGTCACAGACAAGGAATAAACAAAGGGGCAGGCTGGGTTCCAAGGTGCTTCATACACAAAAATAGAAGGATCCAGCCCAATGCCAGAATTTGCTGACCATGCCTTAAACCCTCAGAATCCTGGGAAATTGTTGAGTCAGGAGGGACATGATCAGATGAGCACTTAGGATGAACTATATTGACTGCCCAGAAATGGAGCCAGCATGTTTTAGATGTACTATGAAATAAATATTCGTAGTATCAAGTTTTTCTGTTATTATAGTTGTAAACACACAAGGTGGCTGTGCTTCAATAAAATTTTGTTTACACAAACAGAGGTCCAAATTTAACCTACTGGTTAAATTTGTTAAACCTTGCTGCTCCAGGATCTCAAATAATGGATTCTAATATATTGCTGATAATCTAAAATCAGCCACTGTGACTCTCCAAACACCTACCACAGCTACTGAAGACTCATTTATCACCTATGAAGAGCCTCCAATTTTACCAATAAGGGGATGGGAAAAGAATGGATGGGGGGTTATTTTTTTGTCTACTAAGTGGATTTATTCTAGGTAGCAACCAACTCTTCACTCTTTCAGATCACCTGGCCAGTACTGTGTACACAGGCTACTTTTGTAGCAGAAAAAGAGACTGAAAACCAATGACTCATGAGTCCTCCACCAGCCCAGCTAGACCACTCGACACCCCACAATATTTGCATCTGACATTGTCTCCATCTGACATTGTTCAAAGAGCTGCTTGCCTACTGACATATCCCCAACTGGTACTGATGGACTTTAGGGGATGCACTGATTTGCAGAATGGTTCTCAAGTTCCCAAGACTATCCCTGAACCAGATCATCCTATTCAATCCCAGTGGCTGGTGACCAGAACTAGGAGCCAGCGAGAAGGCTAGGATGTCAACTTTTAAATAACAAAAACCAGGTATCTGCTTGAGAACTTTCCATGAGATGAAGCTTGGGATAATATTTGCTGTTTCTACTCTTAGTGTAGTATTCTCCAAAATGGGGAAGGGGGAAATTTCCTACCCCCACGTCTACAGACATTTTTAATTATCACAGCTAGGGCACATATTGTGGCATCTTGTGGGAAGAAACACCAGAGATGCTGTTAAACACCCTAAAATGCAGGAACATCTATTAACAAAAAAAATCACCCAGTCCCAGTGTCAGTAGTGCCAAGAGGAGAATGGGACTTCACACAATAAGAAAATGCCTCAAGCGCCTATTCACAATCCAATTAAATTCTAGAAACTCAGCAACAAAGACCACTTTGATAGATATGGCTGTCTGATTAGATGAAAGAGAGCCAACAGCAGTGTGAGATAAACTTGCTGATGGGGCTGTTTGTTGTCTCTGTTATTGTGAGAAAGAAAAAATTACTTTGGAAGATTTAATCTATAAAGGAAGTTGGAACAAATAATTTCTGTAGCTTCTTTGAGCTCCAAAGTCCTATGCATAGAAGACGGTTGAAATTCTAACATCTTATGTTAGTTTTCTGGTAGCTTTCCAAAAATGATGGTGTCTCTATGAGGCTAAAAAGTTAAAACCAGACCATTGTCCTTTAGAGTATGGAGGAAGGCTACTCTGAGATATGAGTACACAAGAAATAAAGTCAGCCAGAACAACTAGAGAAATTGTAATTTGTACATTTACCATTCATGTAGCAAGGAAACTACTACCTAATTAATCCCTGTCACTCCAAAATGTATAATATGAAAATCCCTCAATCAGAAACTTAAAAATGGTATCTATTTTACTTGTTATAGGTTACCTATTGTGCTTCATATTACCTATTGTCACACTGATGACAATAAATGTTTTTCCTGACAGTCTACCTACAGTATTTAGGAAACTTATAAAAGATAAAAATCCATGAATAAAAACACACCCTCTGTCTAAAGAACATAAATGGCCTGTATGCACATGCAGATGTTCAACATCATGTATTATTATAAGAAAAATGAAAATTCAAAACCATACTGCGAAGTCACTTCACTCTTGTGAGAATGGCCCATATTAAAAAGACTGGAAACAACAAATAGTTAGCAAGACAGTGGGAAAAAGGAAACGCATACTCATCCATTATAGGTGGAAATGTAATTTGGTAGAGCCTTTGTGGAAAATGGTATAGAGATACTTTAAAAAAAAATAAAGGGAGGGGCCCTCCCTGGTGGCGCAGCGGGTTACAGCACAGCACAAAGAAGCTAAAGCCACTTCAGCATGGGTTCGATTCCTGCCTGCCCCGGAGGTGACCACATGGCGCTGCAGACCTCTCCTGACCCGCCCGCTGCTCCCCTCA